TGCATGCTCACTACTTACTATTGTGGATCTCAGTGTAATGCATGTTGCTGCTAATTGAGTGAGTGTGTATCACCACTACAATCTATAAAAGTGACATGAGATTACATCACACCGTGAGCTGAATGTGTCTTATTATTCCTCTGTGTGAGACTGAAAGTGTACAGTTACTGTCATTCCCCTATCAGAGACACATAGCTTCACATGGCTTGTATAACCTTTAAAATATCGTATGTCAGCGATGTCAAGCAGCTCTGGCTAAATAAGATCATAATTAATAAACAGGGTTTTTTGGGTACTGGTTATATGTGATAGCTGTATTTGAAGGGTCACAAGACACTGCTTCATGGGAATTTCTGGCACAGCACATCAATTGGACCTGAGAGCTGAATTAGTTTAGATGCCCATCATGCATTGGGCAGGGTAACAAAAGGGCCAAACACATACAAAGTCTAGAAATCCTTTGAATGTTTTCCTGACCATAGAAGGACATCACTGCATATCTGGCATGTGAAGACAGTTGGGCTCTGACTTTCAACATTTGAATTTGCTTTCTGACAAAGTGACCTTTCAGAAGCTTTTACAACATCTGAGACATTTGTTTTTATAAGTGAACAGTTTCATGTGACCTACATTAACAAAACAGGACTTGTCTTCTTCACTTATTTGACATTTACCTCCTCTCTGTGGGCAGAGTCACACTTCAAAATGTTGGTTCTATTCAGGCCAACTAGGCCCTTTCAATCAAATATATTAAAACAAGAGGAAAATCCCCTCTCATACTTTTTCACAAGAAAGACAGACCAACCATAAGAACTTGTCTGTTCTCAGTGTTTTTTGTGCACTGGGTCAGTTGAACCTAAGAGAGGACGTGTGGGACACTGAAGATTATGTGGTTGGGGTGAGGAATGGTGTTTTGTGTGGTCATGGGTCAACGACTGGAGGCCAGCTTTTTCTTGGGGTTCAGAGTGTGTTATGGGGTCATGGTGTGAAAGCAGCTTTTCCTCATGCTGGCCCCTGCAGCCTTTCCACAGTCCCTGGGGTGTGTTTTGTGTCAGGCTGCATGTCAGTGGTGGTTCTGTTTCAGGCCATTAGGTTGTTTTCTTAACCCTCCCTGTTCTCAACACACTTTCACACAGGAGAAGCAAGACACAGCGGCTTAACGCTCTGTGGCCCTCCTCAGCTGGGAAATGAGGCGACTGCTGTTCATTCTGGTTATTTTAGTGGCATTGGTCTAATGCACATGCACACATAGAAACAGTAATGTCTTTCTATAGCTGTGAGGACACCTGTGGACATGATGCATTAAAGCAAGCAATCAATCAATCAATCTTTATTGTCACCAAACGAGGGGAAGTTTAGTTTGTAGTCAGGTGAATACAAACAAACAGCAACAAAAAAAAAACAAGAAACATTATCTGTCGCACAGCATTTAGAAAAAAGAAACGAATAGCTGAGACATTTTCAAAATTCATTTCAGTTAGTCAAATCTGTAGCCAGAACAACAACCAGATGGGAGAAAGTCAGACTCCCTTAGGCCCTCTGTTTCCTTTAGACCCTTATCCTACTCTTAACCTTGACAACTTTTACCCTACCCCTAACCAAAACCTGAATCTAACCTTAACCCAAAAAACCTTTTAAAGTTGTGAGGAATAACTAAAATATCCTCACAAAATGTGTCTACACAATGGCATTAAGAGTTGTGTGTGTGCGCGCGCCTATATATACAGTACACACATCAGTACAGGGAGAAATCCAGTGTATTAGAACAGTGATTCCCACCCAGGGGTACGTGTACACACAGGGATTCTTACAGTACTGTTTTGTGGGGATTGTTATGATTAAGGAATAGCTCAACTAATCTGCATACAGAATATCCTCATATCGAGTCAGCTGGTACACCTGAACACTGTGATAATGGCTGAAATAACTGCAAGTAATGGATAATGGTGTGCGTCTAGCAGTAATGTTTTGGCAGTGTCTGTGAAGGGGTTACTCCAGTTCATGTGTTAGGACTGTGTGTGGATTTCTTACAAATAAGACTGGGAAACGTTGTTCTAGAAGATGAAGGAATTTCTCCTTCAGCAATGTCTTTATAGACTATAGTGATGAAGTGCATGTCGTGGTTTTGTTTTTATGTGTGCTAGAGAAATAGTTAGTGATGAAACAATGTTACTGATCAATGGTTAATGATTCAATCTATTTGTTTATATAGGGTAAATTGAGGAAAACAAAGAGTGCCTACATGGAAGAAATTGAAACAGTGTCATTACAGTGGACCTTGACTTTTAGACTGTGAGTTGTCAAAGTTTACATCTGCCTGCTTAAATAAAAACATGAAGGTGAGGATTTGCACATTCATTAGGTTGCTTCTGCTTGAATGTTACATGCCTTAGCATTAAAGTGTGACAATACTGTAAAGAGTCTTTGTACCTGTGTCCTCTGTTTATATGTCAGCTTAACAACTGTAGCGTATCAGAATTTTCCTTTCACCCTCAAACCAAATACATGTAGCACAAAAATCCACTTGACAGCTACTGTATACTGTCAACAACCCATTAAGGAATTTTAATATTTCAAAACTGTTGCTCTGAAAAGATCATCATTATCTTAAGGCAGTGATGATGTATTTAAAACAGTATGACTCCTGATGTCATGACAAACTGTAGTGTGCTGCTCTGGGTGCTGTAGATGCCTGGTGTTGTTCTGACTGTTCTGATGTGGCACAGACACTCCTACTGCTCTACTTTAACATACTTGTTAGGGTCAAGGTTCAACTGACCCTCAGCAGAAAGGACAGAAAAGAAAATGAGAATTGAAGGAGGAGAAGAAGAATGGCAATCTGAAACTTTTAAATTTCTCCTAGCATTTCTTATAATGGTGTTGTTGGCAGTGGCTCATGTCCTCCTACCTGCTGGTAAAGACACACAGCAGGCCACACTTTGTCCCCTCTCTTACATGCTCACATACTGTATAACAACAAAACAGCTCCCTACAGTTCCTCACAGCTGTGCAGACATCATAGACCCTTTAAGTGACATACCCATGGTGCATTTCAGGCATACGATACATCAGTGTGCACAGACATGTAAATGTGCAGATGTGTGTCATTGTAATGCCAGAACAGTTGAAAGGTGTTTAAAATGACAGATGCCAAATGTCTTTGGCCTAGTGACCTTTGTATCCCGCAGTGGGGTTTTGCACAGGGAGGATTAAGTCGCTTCTCTCCCTTCAGCCCCCTTTTTTCATTGTTGATTAATATGATGACTTGATTAACTGATTACTTTTATAATTATTCAATTAACAAGGTAGTCGTTAGGTATCAGAAAACAACATCCCAGTTTTCCATGTGCAAGACAGGGCTGTAACAGACAGGGTTATAATACTGATATGGATAGTACTATAAAGGGTGGCAGAAAAAACAAAGACACATGAACCGTAACAGACACATGGGTGACCAGTATTAAAAACTTTGCCAAGAAAAGAAAAAGAACAGGTGTAAATAATCATCAGAAGCTGATTAATTAATTAACACTTAGTTAATTAATTTTATTAAACAGTCATTTTCATAGCCACAGCTTTCAAAAGCCATTTCTTCTCTTACAGTTTTAGTTTCTCGATCTTTTATCATGTCAAAACGTGAAGCGCTAGCACTGTGTGCATTGGTAGGAATACAGAACAGTAAGCTGCAAGTGGCATCATTCTTATTAGACCTGTATTTATTTTATCAGTGGGTGGTTTCACTGTCATATAGTAAACAGAATAAGTAGTTAAGAGAGGTTTAAACTGCAGCACTCTAAAAAATGTCTTTAAATCCAAACAGCCAAGTTCAAACGAGGAGCTGGAGTGTGTGAGCACAGCGTAACTGATGAGAGATTAGAGAGAACACAGTGTTTACGTTAGGAGAGGAAACATGTTGAGCTCTGTGGCCACTGATATGGGTTGTCATGTATGAGCTCCCTTAACAAATGTCCAAATGGACCAAATGTCCAGCATTTGTGCTCACACAGAACGTCCCAGTGGCAGAAGGTAAACTATATTTCTTGAGGAAAAATAAATACTTTTGCTGAAATGAAGTTGTTTTAACTGCGTCTCAGTTCTATCCTGATTCAGTTGTTCCTGTAAATATTGTTTTCAAAACGCTGACTTTAAGACAATACATCATGTATTTATGGGGTTTCGACTTGTGAATATTTCTTCTTTCTCTGCTCTGGTCACTTGTGTTAAGTGGAAACTGATGCTGTCAGTGTATCCCACCTCATCCCTGAGCTATCAAATCATTTTTATGGGACACTTTTATGTATTTTTGAAATAATTCGCTAGATTTTATCATTACTTTAAACACTGTGTCAAACTGTCTGCATTTCACATTTCCCCATTGTTTTCTTCTGCCAGCATTAACCCTATATGGGCTTTATGAGCAGATTTCTACTGTTGCATGCACATGAAGGAGGTATTGCCTCCATACTATAACCATTATGGGCTGGTAGGGTACTAAAGACGCTGCAACTGGACCTCACGCATTGAAACGATCTCTTTATCCTGGGACTGTCTTGGAGCAAAGGACACGGATGCAGGGGTTTGGTTGGATGGGCGTGATCCTAAGATGAATAGATATTTGAGGCACCTCAGGGGTCCAAAGCAAGCCCTCTGCAGAGGCCCTGGACTCTGAGCTCAGTGTTAAAATTTTATGTGCCTTCAGTATTCAATAAAGTCTTGGTTAGAAGAAAGAAAGGCACAAAAAGAATAGACACTTAACTTCAAACACTCTCTTGGTCACAGCATGATGCTGATCTTCAGTTTTTAAATTCATAAGTGTTCATAATTTATTTGAGTTCTTATGTTGCCATTGTTTTTGCAGATATGTTTTTAATGGCAGTTGCTTGAGCGTAACATAAAACTTAGAAAGTTTGGCACATTTCTGTTTCCTTTTGAATATGTAAAAAATGTGCTGTAATTATTTTTATAGCTCAAGTTCTTCTTTTTGTTTTTCTGTGTTGCAGGGGGCTGTTCATCACTATTCATGACCGTGGCCATATTGCGTCACTGCTCCAGAACTGGCCGGAAAAAGACATCAGGGTAAAATAAATCACTCTCATGGTGGCATCAACTCCTAATTGAAGTTCCTGTGTCACATAACAAAATCCTCATCACATTTAAGCAGATGTCACCAAAATAATATTAGGTAAAACAATGGCAACTCAAATAGCTCACCCATACTTTGAAGTTAAAACATCTTACAGTATTTATGATTTAAATGAAGAACAGCATTTTGCTTTTCAGCATTATACAATTCAGGTAGTTATCTCCCTTGTTCCCACATTTGTCCCTATCAGTTGTCCACATCCTCTTTATAAAACCCAGGGCTTCACTCAGCTGTTCAGAAAACAGACGGATTACGCAGAATGAACAAACAATTAAATAAAAATCAATAATAAATCATGATGACACATATACACAAATGGACAAACAATGGGAAACAAGCAACACATCAAACTCCAAAGTAAATGTTTGTGGAAAGCCAGTGCATAATAATAATGTCTGCTCAGAATGGCGCACACACAACGCAGCCATCTTATCTCTTCAACACACAGTGGCATGGTTTTAACATAACACTCAATTTAATTTCTCATAAAATTCAACAAAATAAATAGGTGTAACCATAAAGTTTTACCTTCTGCTTCTCGCTCACTAACGAGGTAAATTCCCCAATTCACTGCTGGCCCGGACACGAGCTAATGGCGTCAGCCATTAGCTATTATCTTTAGCTCACAGTGCTTTCACTCGCTACCACGACCAATTCTCAATTGGTGCCAATCCAATTTCAATATTA